CTCCTGCCTCCGCCTCCCAAGTAGCTGGGACCACAGGCGCCCGCCACAACGCCTGGCTATTTTTTTGGTTGCAGCCATCATTGTTGTTTTGGCGGGTCTGGGCTGGGGATTCGAACCCGCCACCTTAGGTGTACATGGCTGGCGCCTTAGCCAGTTGAGCTATAGGTGCCGAGCCAGTTAAATAGTGGATTTAATGTCTCTCAAATCAGTAAGTCCTGTGGGAGGCCTTCAGCACTAATAGGATAGTTGAGTACTCTGCCTTAGCCTTCACTTCCTTGCACAGAGCCTCAGGTTAGTAGTGCATGAGAGCTTAGGGCCATCTCAGGTCTGCCCTGTGAGTGCATACATATGTGTATGTCCAATTGTGTGTGTGTTTGTGTGTGTGCACATGTGTGTGGCCCCCTGGAGGAATGTGTTGGCTCTTCCAAAGCTCTCTATGGACATCTTATTGCCCAGATTGCCTTTTACTGTTTTGGCCAACCTCTTGTTTACCCCACCTGATGTAGCTGCAGATGCTAAACAATTGCTGCTGATTGTTTTCTACAAATACACTGGGATGGAGCTTTTCTCCTGGAGTGAGCGCTCAGGTCAAATAAAGCAGAACTCCAAACTCACTGCTCCCTCCAGTGACTGGCTGCTGGTGGTTTTGAGTCTGCAGGTTTTCAAGGCTTAGTGCAGAGCTGGGGAGAGTGCATTGGGAGTGGGCTTGCTGAAGCACCACAGAGTGCTGGTATTGCTGAGGTGTGGCTGCTGCTCTTAAATATATTCCTCAGATTGTTGTGGCCCTTACCTAACTTGCAAATTCTGAAAAAGTTGGTTTTGATAATTTTTGCCAGCGTTCTTGTTGCATCTATGAATGGATAAATTTTGGAGTTCCTTACTTTGCCATCTCGAAATTACTTCCTCCAGATAAATATTATTAGATGATAGAATCTTTTTTTTTAAATTGTTCTCCCAAAATCCATGTTGAAAGAATCTTTGAGTCATGATTCTAGACTAGAGCCAAGGTATGTACCAAGTAACCAATCACTGCTTATTGATGTCTTAGATCATCTTCAAGGGGTTATCTTATTATATTTGCTTTAATGCAGTCAGTGGCACATTAGTGTGAACAGATAGATGGGAATTTAATTAAAAAGTAGTTAGTGGCTCGGCGCCTGTGGCTGGGCCTGCCAAACAACGATGGCTGCAACCCAAAAATGGCCAGGCGTGATGCCATGGCACTCTACCCAGGGGGATAGCTTGAGGCTCCATCTCACAAAAAAAAAAGGTAGTTAGTGCTGACTCTGTTCCTAGAACTGTCCCAGGGTGGAGAACAGTCGATACTTGTGATTCGACTGGATTGGATTCCTTCTGTGCAGAATGGCTGTAATGGATTTTAGTGGGAATTCACAGGAGGAAGAACCATGTGTGTTGGAAAAGTGAGAGGCAGCTTCATAAAGGGAAGTGGAACACAGCTTTGAAGGGTAAATGGTGCTGAATAAATAGGAAAAGGAGAGGTCAGGCTTGACTGGGGCCTGACATTCCATCATAGAGGGAAACAGGCACTGTTCTGCTTTAGAGAACTTTGGGTGTGTTTTACTGTGGAATAATGAACATTAAAGATAAACAGCTTGTTTATAGATTTTAAGAGTGGCAGCTGATTAGTCTAAAAGCGTATTAAGTATTCATTAAATATTAGTAAATTAAGAATTAGGAAAAAAGTAAATGCTATGTTGTGCTACTTTTAAATTATTTTGCGGGTAAGTTATGAAGTTGATAGATGAGTTTCTGCTGAATTACAAAGCTTTGTGTATTAAATATGTGACATTTTCTAATATTTTTAGATGTCATTTGCCTATGCTGTATATCGGATTAGAATATGGTTTGACCAATAACTCAAAACTTGCTGAAAGATTCTTCAGCCAAGCTCTGAGTATCGCACCAGAAGACCCTTTTGTTATGCACGAGGTTGGAGTGGTTGCATTTCAGAATGGCGAGTAAGTACTGAAAGGCCATAAGTCCTTCCTTTTACTCTGCAAAGAGTTGAATGGTCAAAGTGACTCTTCAGTGGATTTTTATTTTGGAATATATTATTTTAGGACGAGATAGTTAAAACAAGAAAAGAAAAACTGTTATCTTGGATTTCCTTAAAAATTCTAAACCCAGGTTGTGGTCATCTTTTGACTCGAGCTATCACATACAGGTGGCCAGTTTAGCCCCTGAGATCCTGCATTATGGCCTGAAGGCCTTGCGCACCCTTAGTTCTCTGTGTTGGTTAGGAGTTAGACTCATAGATTGGAGAAAAATTTTTCTACAGCTGTTAAAACGAAATGTTTTCTCTTTTGTTACTAGTAAATCAGAAAATTAAGCTAATCAGAGTGACCCAATCTCTGAGTTTCCTGGTTCACTGAAGCTTTAATGTAGTCTTAATTATTTATTTGTAGAGTAAGTGGTTTGTTGTCATACTCCAAAAAAAAAAAAAACCTTATAATCCTTTGCATTCAATTACACATAAATGTTAACATAGTAAACTAGTACTGCTTCAGTGTTTGTGGCATGTGTGTCTTCCAAAAGTGGGTTATCTAGGTATTTTAGAAACAATTTGAAATTGTAAAAATATATAGTAATAATATAATATAGTATAAAATATAGTAATAATATAATATATAGAGTCAGTCATCAGTATTTGCAAATTCTGTATTTGTGAATTGCCTTCTCCCCATATCAGGCCTTGAGGTGCTGGTTGTTTACAGATACAGGACAGGAGGAATTAGACCTTACGGTGCACACATGCCTGGCTGATGTCATGTGACACAAAGTTCTTTCTGCATTTTTGTTTCAGCTCATACTGTAAACCAGGAATCTTTTTGTAGTCTGGTTAGTACCACATTTTTGATAATTTTGTGCTTTTTCTTGGTGATGTCACTGTTCACAGTGATCTCTGAGCTGTACTCTGAAGGGCTCTTTAGTGGTCCCAAGCACAGGAGGCTATGATGTGCCTTGTGGCGGAAATGCGTGTGTTAGAGAAGTTGGCTCAGGTGTGGGTTGTGGGTTGTAGTGCTGCTGTAGCGAGTTCAGTGTTAACATTGGATGATATGCAGCAATTCAGGTGTCACTGAACAGAAACACACAAAATAAGGTCATGCGCTGAGCAGTTGATGAAAATATTATGAGCAGAGGTTTGCAGGGGCCTGTTTTTCCCCTGGGAGCAGTGGTACAGTATTTGCAAAATCAGTGTTGATAGTGACTGTATACCAAAGTCACTATGAAAGTTTTGAGACATACTATCTTATGGCGTGTTATTTCATTTCCAAGAAAGACAGTCAACAGCAGTCTCCTTTCTGATTCACTCACACAAGTTTCAATGTGGGAAGCTCATTTGTATCCTTCCTCAATGCACTCAGTGGGCATCTACTGTGGAGCTGAGAGGAGAGCACTTTTGTGTGATGGTTTTCTGTGATTTTAAAAGTGGGTTAAATGAGTCTCAAAGCCTTGAGTGTTTGCAGTGGGCTTCTGGATTCCTTCCTGTAAGATAAGTTTTGGTGGTTTTAAAATTTTAAAAGAGACATCTATAGAGCACATTGCAAGTAAAAGTTGAATCTATCAGGTATAGAACACAAATGTCTTAATCCTGTAATTGGGTAAATGAGGTGAAGGCTATGTTGATTAGTAGAATGTAAGCACTCCGATTTGTACAAATAATCAACACATTGAATTCCATAATGGCATAAATGTATTTATGATCTATGTACAAATGACTTAATAAAAAAAAAATTTTAAAGAGGCCGAATTTCATTGGGAGACAAGGAGAGGAGAGGGCATCCGGCTATTGCAGTGAATGAGGAAAACATCACTGCTGTGGAAAATGTGGTTTGCAAAAACAATCAAGTGACATTTAAGGGCATCGAAGTAGTACTATAGTTTGGATTGCTGGTAGGGTCAAAATCCTGCCATGACTATCTTTGAGCCAGTAAAGTTTCATCTGCATGGGTGCCTCACACTTTGACAGATAAGGAAAAGCACATCTGAGTTAAATGAACAACGTAAAGAAGTGCTGGTCAGATTCGATGGAAGTGAGTCTAGACTCATTTCTGACACCGTTACAGTGATAAAACATGGATTTACCAGTTTGATCCAGAGAATAAGCATTAGTCAACAGTGAAGATTGTTTCTAATGAAAACCCACCAACAAAAGTGAAGTGGGACGGGGGCAGTGGCTCATGCCTATAATCCTAGCACTCTAGGGGGCCAAAGCAGGTGGATTGCCTGAGCTCATAGTTTTGAGACCAGCTTGTGCTAGAGCGAGACCTTGTCTCTAAAAATAGCTGGTTGTTGTGGTAGGCGCCTGTAGTCCCAATTGCTTGGGATGCTGAGGCAAGAGAATCACTTAAGCCTAAGAGGTTAAGGTTGCTATAAGCTATGACACCATGGCACTCTACCGAGAGCAGCAAAGTGAGACTCTGTCTCAAGAAAAAAATAAAAAATTAAGTGGCCCTAAAGTATGAGAAAATGGTACTGCCTTCCCCTCTACACCTGGTCACATCGCCCTTGCTCCTCTGGAGGAACATAAGACTGTTGTTGCTCAGTGGCACACGTAGCATGCCCACCAAAAGTTTTTAGGAAGTTTCAAGAATGGGGCCAAGGACAGGACTGTGGGGACCACTTTGCATCAAGACAGAGCGTCCGCCCACACAGCCAACTTCACCATTCAGTTCCTAGAGTCCACAGAGGTAAAACTTACTGCAGTACTCATCCACCCTGTAGTCCTTATCTTGCCGCATGTGTTTATTTCCTGTTCTCTATGGTAAAAAATTATGTGCTCAGAAGAAGCTTCTCCAGCCCCAAAGAAGTTGTTCTTACCTATAAAAGTGAGCTTGTAACATTTGAAGAAAATGAGGGGAGAAGATGTTTTCAAAAGTAGTTTATGGGGAACACAAAAGTATGAAGAATGCTGTGGCGATTGTTTTGAAAAAATACAGTTATCAAAATGATTTCTGCTTCACTTGACTAGCCTTTAAAAAGAAGAAAGAAATGATTTTACATTTCTTGATTTATGTGTATCACAAAACTTTCGTAGTATCCTTCATAGAACATAAATAATGTGAATAATGCACCTCTACTGTTATCTCCTGAAATCTTGAACTCATGTGATGGTAAGCCATAAAATTGTTTATTCAATTTAACTTTGAATTTTAATAATTATCTTCATTTCATTTTAATGCTGCTTGAAAGAGATACTCAAATTTTTCTTAAATGTTTATACTTGTTAATTTTGAATAATCTGCAATCTCTTTTTCCTCTATTTTAGATGGAAGACAGCAGAAAAATGGTTTCTTGATGCTTTGGAAAAGATTAAAGCAATTGGAAATGAGGTATTCCATGTAGTATCTATTAATACACATGTATATACCCCTGAGTGTTTATTGTTGAATGAGGAAAATAATATAGACAGTCTCTCTTGCCTAGAAGATAATAACCTAATATTTACAATAAGAAATGGTTTGTTAGTGTTTGAACTGTCAGGCAGTTAACTATTTTACCACATTGTAAAAAAATGTTTGTTTCTAAATAAGAGGGTAGATGTTGGCTGTTTTCATAAGAGGGCTCTAGGTTTGAAATGTGGAAATAATCAGAGTGTATTGTATAATGTATTTGAACTGGCAATCTTAACTGGTGGGCACTGTAGTATCTGACTTAATAACTCTTTCAACTTTAGAGAGTCTCAACTTTGACTGATGGGTAAATATATGCCGTAGCAGATCCCATTTATGCAGGGGCAAGGATGGGGACAGGCATCATTCAGACTCAGACCTTTTGTTGCTGCTCCTCAGCATGTGTGGACCATGGTATCTGGACCTCTCAGTGTTTGGGGTGTTTGACTAGGTTCTGTAGAACAAAAAACATACTCATGAATTGATGCTTATGAGTTAACTTTCCAACTAGCATGTGTATGCTGGTATTATTTAAAATTAGCCAGTCCTGGTGGGTCACATCTATAATCTTAGTTGGGTGTAGTGGGTGCCTGTAGTCCTAGCTATATAACACTTTTAGGTGTCATGAACTTCTGTAGGAAAGGGCCTTGTGGCAGCTGCTGTTTTAACTCCTGATTCTCTTTTTCCATGCCTGCTGTCCCTCAGCTCCCTCCCTTCCTTTGCTGCTAGCTCCTTCCTGTTCCCTCAGATGCAGCTCCTCCAGCCTCCCCAACAGTTGGCCATCTGTGGGTCCCCAAAGTCACAGCTTTATTTGTTTTGGTCTCTTATTGTCTTCTGAATTTACGAACGCTGTATTTCTGTCTGTTGGGACGTGTGTATACAAAGCAGGCTCTTCCTCAGCTAATTCCTGGTGGTTCTGGAGAGTGCAAGTGCTTTGTTACTCTCAGACTGCCTCTTGCTGCCCTGTTGGTTTCATTGTCGAGTACGTTGCTGCTCAGACAGACCCAGAGTATCCACATCACTGGAAGCTTGATAGAAGTGCAGAATCTCAGATCTACTAAGTCAAAATCTGCAGTTCTAGCATAATATGCTTTTTGCACAGAAAAGTTTGGGAAGCATTTTCTTAAACCACATGTAAAGTTGCAACTATACTCTTCGATGATTCATAGGCACTTTGGAGTCCTGATGAAATTAAGTGTGAAAGTGTAATATTATCTAAGTGTCAAAACACCCAATTAAAAGTTATATAAAGGAGTTAAGGTATTGTTTGACTTCAATTATAAATTGCAGCAAGTATCAAAGTATCAGCAGTAGGCCTAAGAGTCATCAGATGACTTGTTTTCCATTCACTTGGACCATGCTTCCTGGAGCCACTCTGGGCAAAGGTGGAGTGAGCCTCAGGTCTGTTTATTCGTGTGGTTGACATACATTTAATGAATGTTGATTATTTCCTAGGCTCTGAGGTAAATGTTGAGATGCAACAGGGAACTAGTTTGCTATGTCATCCTCTCAGATCTATTAGAGAATGTAAATAACTAAACTGGCAGTGAAAATACAGTGCACTTGAGGAAATAAAGGTACCCATGGGGAAGGGCAGTGTGCTCAGACGTGAAGGTAGTCAGGAAGGCTTTTGGTTTCAGTATCATACACATCAGTCCTGAGGTGATCAGACCTCAGCCAAGCAGAAGTGAAGGAGAAGGGCATTTCAGGTGTACAGAATGGCGTGTGCAGAGGTTGGAGCTGATTCCATGCAGCTTGGAATTTGAGCTCACAGAGCACATCAGGAAGTGGGACAGGAAGGTTAAATGTTAGGCACTAAGGACCTTGAAAATGTATATCCTGAGGGAAGTGAGAAGGCAAAAGGGACAGCGTGGTCAAACTGTGTGATGGGGCCCCATAGACTCTGCTGATGTGTGAGTGTCATGCTCAGGAGATGGAGGAGCAAGGCCTGGTGGTTCTTAGAAGGGTCAGGGCCAAAGGAGTGCTGTGTGCTGACTGGGAAAGCACTCAGAAGGCTGAGGTCAGGGAGGTGGTATGGCAGGAGAGAGATGTGTTTGGGGTCTGACACATTCAAGTTAAAGTACTTAACAAAATTTCTAAGTCAAAACAGATGGATATAAAGGTCTAGTGTGGCAGAGAAATTCTGAGCTGTAGGTATACAGTTTGAACTGCTATCAGTGTGGATGGCCTCTTTGATGACATTGACTAATTACAGTGGAGTCCTTAGGAAGGCTTCTTTAGTAGGAAAGGAAGGCAGATAAGCCAGCAGTGCTCCTGCCAAGTCTGTTGTGGACACCAGAAGAGAGCCCCTTCAGAGAAGTGGAAATAAACATGTCAGGCTAAACAGTGACCTATGTAACTCTTGGCCTTGATGTTGCTGTGTTTTAGGTGACAGTTGACAAATGGGAACCTTTGTTGAACAACTTGGGGCATGTCTGCAGAAAACTTAAGTAAGTGAAGAAGAGCATTTTCAGAAATGTACTTTATGACTAAATTTACTTAATTAGCCTTTTCTGTGTTTTCATTTCAAGAGATTCTCCTTTTTGCTACATGGTTGTACATATAATAAGCATCAAAATTGTTATTTCTGTTATTTATTTCTGTTGATATAATTTTATTTTAGAAACACATTGAAAATTATAGTAGCTTTTTTTAGATTAAAATTTTTAGTGTTCAGAATTAATTTGAAAGAATTGGGACAGTAGACAGACTCTAATTAAAACCATATCCCTGTTCTGTTTTCTCCTAGAGGTTTTGTAGTATGATAAACAGATGATAGTTGAAAATGGGTTCTTTGTTAAATAAGAAACTCTCAGTTACTTGAGATTTAACAAGTTTTTCTGTTGTAGGATTTCTTTGAGTCTTTACTATGCACTGGGAGCTGCAGCATTTCCCAAACTTTGCACATAAAAACTTTTTTTTTTTTTTTAATAAATAAGACTCTGTAAGATAAGTATTCAAGAGAACTTTGGGGAATACTTTTAAGTAACTTTTTGGACCTTAACACCAGACTCCTGTCCTTTTAATGACTCCCGGTATGGGAAGTTTACCATCTTACAAAAAGGTGGTATATTGTTGTCACAGGCCAGGAGTTGGGCATTAGGTTGTGGTTGTAGTGTCCCACTAAACACCGAAAGGAACACAGTGTATCCACACAGGAGAGCCCCTCTTGCTGAGGGAGCTTGCTGGTAAGATGGACTCTCAGGAGGTGTTAGGATGCATGGACATGGGGATGGAGGACAGTTACTGGTCTAGACTTACTTTGACTTAGGAAAGGGCTTTTTATGTGCTTATGTTGATGAATACTTGTCTTGGACTTAGGAATTTAGTACTTCTGCTATATCCAGTAATTGTTTTCTTTTTCTCCCTTCTCTCCCTCTCCTCCAACCCTTCCTCACCTTCCCTCACAGAAAGTATGCTGAGGCCTTGGATTACCACCGCCAGGCATTGGTGCTAATTCCTCAGAATGCATCCACCTACTCTGCTATAGGGTATATCCACAGTCTGATGGGCAACTTTGAAAATGCTGTGGACTATTTCCACACAGTATGTCCTTTGTTTTGAACCTAACTTCATCGTCATCATCATCATCATTATTGTTATTATTTGGTGAACCACTGATGTAAATATTTATTTATTTAATTTTAAATTAATATGAGGGTATAAATGATTAGGTTATGATGTTTGCATTTATTAGGTAAAGTCCTTTTGTAGTTATGTCCCACATCCAGGACATGTGCCACATACCCTTACATTGTGCCCTTTATGTACCTAACTTTTTTTTTTTTTTTTTTTTTGGATAGAGCCTCAAGCTGTTGCCCTGGGTAGAGTGCTGTGACATCACAGCTCACAGCAACCTCCAACTCCTGGGCTCAAGCAAGTCTCTTGCCTCTGCCTCCCAAGTAGCTGGGACTACAGGCACCTGCCACAATGCCCGGCTGTTTTTTGGTTGCAGCCATCATTGTTGTTTGGCAGGCCTGGATTGGATTCGAACCCACCAGCTCAGGTGTATGTGGCTGGTGCCTTAGCCACTTGAGCCACAGGCGCCAAGCCTATGTACCTAAGTTTTAATCTGGTTAACATTTACTACTCTTTTTGGAAATAGCTTTTCTAGGCAATGTTTATTTCTTTACTATTTTAAAATTCTTTAGGCAGCATGTTTTATTTTCTTTTCATAGAAACGTGTATGCTGTACGGTGTTCATCAGATTAGAAACAGATATGAATCATCTGCTCAGAGTCAGAGTGAGGCATACAGGTGCCCAGTGAGCTCATGTGGGCAGTTTGGGCACTGTGTCTAGACAAGCGGCACGGAAGGATCTGCTCACAGTCCTTTAGCAGCTCCCAGTCTTAATTCCTTTAGATCACTTTAGTAAAGGGGAGAATCTTTCCTTAATACATACATCACATGTCACCAAACCTATGGTACCATTAGTTAGCAAGATGGCTACAAAGAAAAAACATGCTAAACAAACTAATATTTTCCTATCACTTAATTATTTTTGTAGTTAGAGAAAGTACTCTGGAACATATGTAGACAGATTTCTTTATTACTCTAGTGAATTAATAAGTGAAGCAGTTATGATACTTAGCCAGTAAACATCATAAAATAGTGTGTCAGTGTCCTTGTTTTCTCATGAAGTATCTGGTGCAGGGCACACACCTAGTTCTTGGCTCTGGGTTCCCTCCAAGCCCCAGAATATCTGCTTTGAAAATCTCTCTCAAGTCCCCTTCGACTGCTAAAGTGTCAGCAAGTTTTCAGACAGCACAATTCACCCTCACGTGGTTTGTTGTCTAGTCTGTTACCTGCTTGGCCCTGGGTCTGCTCATGTGCAGGCTGCTCATACGTGGTAGCTGAGACACAGTGGTGGCAAGAAATAACAGTACCTGAATTTGAGAAAGGGTGGATTTTTGGAGGAGATAAAATATGAGGAAACATATATTTTAAAGATAAATTCATGAATAATAGGTTTATAGCTGATTTTCAAAGGTTAGAGATTTTCATACTAGATGAATTCCTGAAGGTGTCACTGTAATAACCACAACACTGAGCTTGTCAGATGTTTGGACTAAGCATATTTTCTAGTTTTTAAAATATGTATATATGGACACTATGTAATTTATCTCTTTTCTGTGATTTAATTAATATAGAAGGCTTACCTCTGAGTGAGATCCAGTTTTTAAATCTTTTATGGAGGTAGAATTCAAGCATAAGAAACAGTATGATGAACCTTCATGGCCTGTCAACCAACTTTAGTCATTGGCTTGTGGCCCATCTTCTAGCTGCATCCCCCTGACCCTGGGTACCCTGGAATATTTTGAACTGAATCCTTGAAAGAGAAGGAAATAAACTTTCTTTTGATAACCATGATGAATTTTTCTTGGCAGGCCCTTGGTCTTAGGCGAGATGATACATTTTCTGTTACAATGCTTGGTCATTGCATTGAAATGTACATTGGGGATTCTGAAGCTTATATCGGTAAGATGTAATTATTTGTATTCACATTGTATTCAATTTTTCACATTGTGTATTACATCCTAATATAATACAGTAGACTACTACACGATGAAAATGTGGTATCCTAATACAGTGCAATAGACTACTACATGATGAAAAAGACTGCTGAATTGTATAACAGCATGGCTGCATTTCACAGATTTTGACAGAGTTTGTTCTGATTACTTCCACTTGTAGGAAGATGAGCAATTGGTACTGATAGAAAAGACAGAGTGGTGATTACTTCAGCCTTGGGACGTTGACCAGGAAGGAGCACAAGGCAGTTGTTAGGGGCTGTGTGTGACTCTTTCTACCTACAGTGGGTAAACATGTGTATGTGTGTGTAGGAACTCATCTTGCAGTGCACTTATGGAGGAAGTACACTTTACGCTGTGTTGTGGCTCCATTGATTCAAAAAAAAAAAAAAATGCCTCCAGCTATGGTGCTCTGAAGACCCTGGGTTGACCTCTCAGCTCTGCCCCTCAACAGCCTTTATAACTTAGGGCAAGTCTGGGCCTTACTTCCTTCACTTGTTTAAGGAGAAATTGTATGTACAGTGAAATAAGGGATGGAGGTGCAGTAGTGAGCAAGACAAACATTTTCCCTGTCCTTGCAGAGGTAATGGTCTTAGGGAGACTTCCAGATTTATCACTCATTACTTTTTATTTTTAGGATGTTTGCATGTCATTATCTGCCGAAATACCTATGCCCGAAAGCCTTCAATTCGACCTGTGTAAAATTGTCATACTGCTTGTGTTGGAAATGATTGAACCTAATAATATCTGTTCAGATCTGTTCAGCTATACTTTTTCAAAGTTTTAATTTGTAGAAAATACATGTGGTTTCTTTATGCATAAAGATTAGTGGCTATTCCTGACAGGCATACCACAGACACTTCTTGTTTGTAACAACTGAGGATAATGTTGCCCCCAGGCCTCACCAGTAACTAAGAGGGTTTAGGAAGCAGGGTGCCTGTGGAACTGCACCAGAGCTGCAACCACACATGATTCTTTTTTTTTTT